CACTTTAGTACAGGTACTTCCTAGGCATATGTTTTGCTTCAGAGCATTGCACTGCTTCTGCATGTTCATTACTGAAGCACTGCATTCAGCAATACTGAAAAGTGGGCCAGGGAGCTGCTCTTAAAAGAAGGCTCACAAGTCATACCCTTCCTTCACAGTAGGATCTCCCCCAGATCAATCAACACATCTCACTTCAGGATCTTTTTGACCTCTAACATTCCCTCTGTTCTTCATCAGACTTCTCTGTCCTCATGTCCTGTAAAACTCCCTAATGTCCACACTCCAGTTCCCTGGCTTTCATGTTTGCATCCATAGGTAACTGGTGGATGATCTGTGTCCTGTAGGCTTTGGAATCTCTCTCCTCCTGCTGCTATCAATGCAACTCTATAGACATACATAGTGTAATTTCCTAATCCCAGACTCCTGCAACCTCTCTTTCATCTGACACCTGGGACATACAATGTTGCATAAATTTGTGCCAAAATTATAAGGTTCCCTCTGTTAAAGCTCATACCTAGAGGATGGATTGTGGAAAAACTTGTATAAAAGGGCAGATAAATCAGATAAACAGACTCCATGAAGTAAGATGTTGAGGGGAGACATGTCTACATCTTGGGCTCGTGGACACTCGCTGACCACATTTACATTTCCACTTTGGAAATCACATGAGCAAAACAGACTGCAAGACCATATAAATCATTAAGCAAAATGAATGATTTTCAGTTCTGTATTTAAATGTCAGACTTTTTCCTAATGTAGCAACAAGGCTTCATACATACAGATTTCAAGTTAGAGAGGCAGATGATGGTAGGTACCTCTATCTTATGGTAAAATATGCGAGAGAACTGGATCATGTTCCTGAATGAGTAAGGCAGAGCGTGTCCTACAGCACCACCTAGCAGGCTAATTTAGAAGTGGTCCATATCCCTGGATCCATGACTGCTATGATGTGTATGTGCATTAAAACCAGGGCGCCCTTCAGTCTTGTTTCACTTTCCTTGGTGTAACAGCTGCTTCTTGAAACCAGAACCGCGCCAGCCTGGTGATTAGTAAAGCCGGGGTGCTGTTTCTCCAAGTTGTATTAATTATAAATCTCTTAAGAGAAACCATAGTAAGAATGCAATGCCAGATTTTTGAGGTTTAGTGCAAGAAATCTTTGTTTTCTAGATCTCTCCACCTGGTGCAGACGCACCTCCCAAAGTCAGATTTCACAAACCCACCCAACCTTTTCTCTGTATTCACCAGCAGGATAAGTAAGTCTCAGTGTGATGAGGGATTTTTAAAGACTGAGAGTCTCTGTGTATTTCAGTTAGTGGGAGTCTGTTGTCTGTCATCACCTACATACAAGTTTTCTTTGTGCATCTGCATGAAGTATGAATACCAATGCCAGCTTACAAATTGTAAGTTTTGGCAGATGATGAAGCTCCATGCTGAGGCTGCAGAACAAAGACTGTAACAGCTCTCTGCTGATATAAAGAGGGATGTGAAGTTTTTTAGGTTTTTTGGTTGGTTGGTTGGTTTTTTGGGGTTTTTTTTGTTTTGTTTTGGTTTTTGTGTTATTTTTTTTTTTCTGGCTGCCTCATACCTTGTTAGAATCTTGGCACTTCTCAGAGCTTTCAATGCCCCCATTCTGCTTGATAACCTAGCAGAAAATGATGCCTTTTTGTCGGTTACTATGTTTTCTGCTAATGGTGAGATAAACGTGATGCATAAGAGGGTCTGATGGGTGACAGAGCTGGCAAAAAGTGGCTCACAGGGGGACAGGTGAAAAAGGTGGGATCTTTTCTCTGACTTCTCCCTTTGGGTGGCAGCAAACTATTCACCTGCCTTGACATACTGCATAAAACCATAACCTAAGGGTAGAACTGTGCCCTGTCACAAAGGAGTGTGTTTTCTTAGCAACCTGCTTATTGGAAGTTAAAACCAAGGTTGCCATTTCCAGCTTCTGTTCACAACAGGCTATGCCTAGCCAGGCCTGTTTAGTACTAGCATTTCTAAAAATCAGGTCATCTAGTGGGAAAAACATAGGATAAATGTATTCATTAGGATACTTTCATGAAAGTCCTAAAAATACCCATGAATTTGAATTAGAACTCCTAAGTAGTCAGTTTACAATCTTAATCCTTTAATGTGAACTCGAGTGTCATGCTAAAATGTCTGGGAACTAAACCTTTACTGTAAGAAATGCTTCACTCAGGGGCTGCTGCAAAGAAAGTAAGATCTGTCAAAATTAATCACAAGTAGAAAGTAGGAACAGCTTGCTTTTATTTCTACTCTGTTGCCTCTCACCCAGCATAACTTCCATTTGGATAGTGAAAAACTATTACCTTATGACTGCCTGGTGTGGAGGAACACTTTAAAACAATCATCCAGCATGAGTGCAAGCTTCCTATAAATGAGACAAACCCAACCTTTCACGATCTCCATCCCAAATAAAGCCCTAACCTGGCCAAAACCTATTCTGTATTCTGTCTTTGCAAGGACAGCACATCCCAGGGGCAAGGCTGGACTTCCCAGAGCTCAGCCCTGGATGCTGGTGCTGCCAAAGGGTGCTGCCCTGCCATCCACCTCCTCTTATTCCACGTCTTTCCAGGGCCTTCGGGGTGCCCAGGCTGTAGATCAAATCCACAAGGGCTTACTGAGAAACCACACTGGCCATATGCTTTGAACAAACAATAACTGTAAAGCAAATTTTAAAAAATCCCTGCGTATGTTATTTTACCACAAGGAATGACAGATAAATCCTACACGACGGATGCCAGCTCTGCCACTTGCTGCCTTAGCGGCAAGCATTCCTGCCCTGCAGTGGAGAGAGCTGAATTAATAATACAGATGTAAAGTATTTCGCAGGAAGAACGTTGGGAGTTAGAACACAGAAAAAAGTCATGAGGCGGGCAGAGAGCGGCAGTCCCTGCCTCACGCTGCGGCTGCCCTTGGAGGGGTAGGGGGGGGTGTCTCTTCCTCTTCGCCTGCAGGGGCAGCGGGTCGGACCTTCCCCTCGGTGCGTTCGCCCGAGGCCAGGTTCAGAGGGTCGGATCCTCCCCTCGGTGCGTTCGCCCTGAGGCCAGGTTCAGAGGGTCGGATCCTCCCCTCGGTCCGTTCGCCCTGAGGCCAGGTTCAGAGGGTCGGATCCGCCCCTCGGTGCGTTCGCCCGAGGCCAGCCCCGGGCTGTGCCACTGCAGCCACACCCGGCCGCTGTGAGGGGAGCCGAGCCCCGCCCGCCATGGCGGCTCCGCCCGCCCCTTCCGCCCGCAGCCCCGCCTCGGCCCGGGACCCGCGGTAGGTGCTGGGCGGCCGCGGGGCGGGGGGGCCCGGGGCTGTGCATTTGTATCACTCTCCTCTACTATGTTTTTAATTTCGTGACAGCCGGAGCCCTGGAGGCGGGTCTGGCCCGCGCCCTGTTTCCTGATGGATCGTGCCTTAAGCTGGGCTTTCCCTTCGACTACGTGCGATCTTAAAGCAATAAATTCAGTAACACACACGTGTTATGGCCAAACCTGCCCAGATATCCCTCATCTGAACTTTAGCTGATGCAGATCTCTGAGTTCAAGTGAGAATTAAGTGCTTGTGACACCGCAGAGATAGAAAGTATTTCAGCATGTGGGGGAGGGCGCCATGTAACCGTGGCTTCATGGTTACTAAACGATTAAATTAGCAGGATATGGGCCACATAAATTGCCTTGCAGTTTCCGGTTGCTATCCTCATACATAAATTGCATAAAGTTTATGAATAAAATAAAGATGTTGTGCACGGTTAGGGTTGCAGTGGGATATCTGCAGGAGCTGAGCATCTGCACTGAGCCCTGAGGAAGGTTTGGAAGCATAAATGCTAAAATGTTTTGTGGGCAGTTTTCCTTTTATTTTCCTGATTATTAACTATTATGAGAAAACAAATGTGGCATTTCCTGCTTACTTTTGCATTCGATGTGCCCTATCACATTTGACCGTGCAAGGAAGGAGTTTTTATTAGGTAATGCAAGAAAGGAGAGTGGAGTTTTCAGTGTGGTCTGTCCTTCCCCACACGGGTGTGGATGTAAGCTGAAGGAGGACTTTTTTCTTGAAGCATTTCTAATCTTAAAACGATGTTATCTGTCTCCAGTGGGAGGGCATTCTCTGACAGGAGAAACCTGTGAAGTCCCTGCCTCAGCTTCACATGAGGATCAAGTGGTAGGCTCCCTACAATCATCCCCTTGGAAGTGCTTCCCCCTGCACTGTAAATGACATGACCTTTTCCATCAGATCTAAATACCAGATTTGCTGAGAGGTCATAAACTTCAAAATGGTCGTTTGATATTAAGTACTACCATTTTCTGGTTTTTAGTTCTATTATCAAGGAGATTTTCTCCTGAAATTTGGTTTCATCCAAGGTCTTGGCTCTTTGGCATGTTTTTCTTAAATAAGATTGTCAAAAAAACCCCCACCTCTGTCTTCAGCAGAATATAAGAATACCACTAGTTATTACACTAAAAAATACATATTAAATTACTGTATGATTACATACATCATTGTTTTTATTAAGCACTCAGTGTGTGTTTAGTGCAGCATAAATATTAAACAAGATTATTCTCCCCCTGGTGGGTTTACAGTCTGAAAGATCTTCATAGGAAGGAGTAGTAATAACATATCATTAAAACACCCCTTTAAATTAATCTCTTTTTGTTTCCCTGTGGTTAACTTTCATTTGCTGTTGATCATGACTGGTGTGTCCTGGCATGTTCCTGTGGTGCTGTTTGATGATGTTACAGACCCCAGTTGTCCACTCTGCCCCTCTGTGAGAAGTTCTTGTTCAGCACATGTGGAAGGAGAGCATGTGTCCCTGCTTCAGCTGCTGCCACACAGAGCCCAGCAGCATAGCTGAGACCCACCTTTGATGGCACTGCACGCTCAGACTTTGGTTGTATCAAAGCTCAGTTCCCTTCTTCCACCTTGGCTTTCTGTGAGGACAGCTGGAAACACTCATGTCTTTAACAGCTGCAGCAAGATTCTGTGAAGCTCGTATGTGAAAGCCCTGAGAGAAGAGACTCTGCAAATGGAAAAAGTGGTGCCCAGTTTTCACTGATTTCTGCTGGATTTAGGTGCCTAATTCACTTTTATACCCTCTCAGTAGGATTTTTCTAGGCGGGAATTTTGTATCCAATAGAATTTTTTTTAAGAGGAAATTGGAGCTTTCCTGGGAAGAGCATGTAATACGGCTTGGACCATAAAAAGAACTGATGTTTCCCAAGGGAAGCATGACTCTTGAACTGAATGAGTTGGCAGGTTTGAAAGTTTTGAAGTTTATTTGCTTATTTAAAGAGTCATAACATAGTCGTAGGCCCTGAAACAATTTATCTTCCAGTTTCTGCTCTAGACTGAACATAGTATTTGTCAGAGAAATTATTTCAGAGTCAAATTTTAAAAAGTAGCTGCTGAAAGCATGCTGCTTTCTGAAAATACCTTTTTGCTGAATAAGCTAGAACCACTGCCTGGGAGTTTAAATCTGAAAGAAAAGAAAAAAAATGTATAGAAAGCACATACTGTTTCTTGTTGGTTTTTGATTGTTTGTTTTTTGTTGGGTTTTTTGTTTGTTTGTTTTGTTGGTTTTTTTTTTTTTTTGTCTTTTTTTTTTTTGATACTGAGCTTGACTATCCATGAGAACAAACTCCTAAAGGAATGTTCTGTCTCCTGAAATTTTTCAAATCAAAATGTGATCCTGTTTGGAAAGTTGTTGTCAAACTCAGCTTATTGAATTTAGTATTCAAGTTACTGATTAAAATTTTTGCAGCTGTACTGTAGAGGAGGTTGGCATAGACTGATCTAATTATTGGCTCTTTCTGACCTCAATACCTGTAGACTGTATAGTGGAAGGCAGGACTGGGATTGTGCTAGCAAGGACTAGACAAGTCTGTTGGGTAAATACAGGGTATGTATTGATTGCTGGGGGAGGAGGAAGTATGGTGGCTTTAGTATTGTCTTTATTGTGGTAAATTGATTTACTGGAGGAAAGGGAGAAGTTAATTCTTCATATCAATCATCCTGTGTTGCAAGGCCCAAAAAATTGTGTATCTCTTCCTCTTGTAAAATTGTTTTGCGTTTTGTTAATGTAAAAAATTGTTTCTTTGGTTATTGTGCTCTGCTTCTTCTCATGTTTTCTGCTTTGGTTGTTTGGGGTTTTTTTTAGCACTAGAGAGATGACAAGCCTATCTATGCACACTTTAATTCCTGGTTTTGTGTTACAAACAGGTTAGGATTTGACTATGGCAGTGCGGTTCCTGTGGAAGGCATCAGTGTGGTTCAAGAAGCACAAGATCACTGTGTTGGCCGTTTCTTGCATGGGACTGCTTGGCACTAACCTTTCCTATCACGTGTTTCCTGAGCAGACATTCAAACTGCTGCATGAGTGCTGGTCAGAGGGGCAGCCAGCTGAGCTTTCGGAGAAGCTCTGTGGTGTGTTTCAGGATGTCCTTCAAGATACTGGTGTGAAGTCCACTGGCTCCTACAGAGCCTTTGCAGCTTCTAGCTTCCACCCTGTGAGCGCTGGAATTCCCTGGCTGCCTGAAGGCTGTTTGGTGGGCATCCCGCCTAACTTTGATAGCACAGCTGAGGATAAAAAAGGAATAGTCAACCATGTTGTTGTAATAAATGGCAAGGAAGTAGACTGGGAGAGCAGTGAAGGTGTGGCTTTGAAGGAAGCTCTCACATTTTCCCTTAAAGCTCAGAAGTTTGCCATTGCCAGAGAAGTTGTGTACTTGCAGAATGGCAGCCCTTTAGCAAGTGCAGTTGTGGCTCCGACTTGCTTGGCTGGGACGGTTGTCTGTGGGAGCGCTCTAAAGCTGCTGCTGGGGTTATCCAGGGGCCCTGTGATCCTCCGGGGCCTCTGTAACCTTGTCACTGCCATGGGAGGACTGCTCTGCTACTATGTCTCTTCTGATGCCATCACCTATCAGCTGGACTGCAGGGCTGACTCGAAGGCAGCCAGGCTTTCCAAGGACTATGCCAGCGGTGGCCTTGAATTTTATGATAAAATCTTGTCCCGCAACAGGATTTTTCGTGGTCTGATGGGCAAAGAAGGGATGAAAATGTATGCCCCGAGTGGTAACCTTTTCCCAAGGCACTGGTTCAGAATAAAGTATACCCCATACACTTACCGGAGAACTTTGATTCTTAATATTTTAAGAGAGCTCCAGGCATCTGATGGGAGTGCTTGAATTTTAAACTTGTGAATTATGTATTTTGGAACACTGCTGTGCTGCTTTTTTTCTTTTTTTTTTTCTTCTGTATCTTCATTAGAATTTTGGGGTTTATTTTTGCATATAGTTCAGAAAGAGTTATTGCACGTTTCTTGAATAAAGAATTCTCTCTTAAAATATTAAAGACTTGCTTCCAAAGTGCTCGGTTCTGTGTGCATCTCAAATCACAAGACTGCTGAGAAGGGAAACTTTTCAGACACTGATCTGGAAGTTCTGCTGTGCTGCTTTGCCTTCCTGCCATTTCAGTCTGGCAAATTGCAAGGTGCAAGTCCAGCGGAGGTTTTGGGATCATTATAATTTAAACTGAGGTGTTTGCTCTTTCTCCTGTAGAACAACACAGATATTTTAAAAAATGGGCATTCTGTATCATGTGGTTACATAAATATCAAGACAGAGTGTTTCTGTTCTGTGTAAGTTCTTGTGCTGTGTGTATTCTTATGCTGCAGTCACCATTCTTCATGGTGAGACATTAGTTACGCTGCAATTCCTACCAGCACAGACAGTTTATTACCAGCACCTGCATAATTTGCTTAAATCTAGTTCTCTCTCTAGTACCTGGTGACTACAATGTCCCCAGGAGTGGTAGTGTGTAAGAGGACTGTCCTGGATTGTCTTCTCACAAGTAGGATAAGCATGTTGAGAAAAAGGTTTTTCTGCTTGCTTTGGTAGAGTTTTTTGTTTCATTTAAAAATACGTGTAGATGTATGTCACCTGTTATGTCAGTGATGGCAAGGTATGAGACATAAGTCTGACATTTGGTGCAGAAACTGGTGAGGTCTTGGATGCAGAGTTGCCAAAGGAGATTATTCTCCTGTATCCAAAGGAGATTATTCTCCTGGCTCAACAAGATTTTGTCTGGCAGGCCAAGCTTTGCCCAGGATTACTTATCTTCTGGAGAAGTCTTTAGTGCATGGGCAGTAAGCTTTCCACTATAGTCTCACCTTGATTTTCAAGGTGATAGTTTTCAAACTTTGTAGTTCCTTCTTTCCTATGTTTCTATTGCTGTTCCAGTAGCTCTCCCTGGTGATGTCAACACAGTTCTCATCTCTGTCGTCATTCTCACCAGCAGCTTCTGTTATTTTCTGACTTTTCAGTCAGAGATGTGCTGTGTCCTCTCTGCCCTGGCTTTGTCCTTTCTTCATCTGCCTCAATAAGAACTGTCACACCTGTGTTTGCTCAATGCATTACTGAGTTCTGTTTCCCTTTTGAATCATATGGTGACATAAAATTGATATTCTGGCTGCTGAAGCACTGCTGTTGCTTTCCATTGCTGAAGCCATGTGTGTGAGATGTTTGAGTTTCTGCTGAAGTAATCTGTGCCATATGCTTCTGAAACCACCTATTGCTTGCACTTGTCCTCAGCAGGTCATGAGATGTCTCTCTGGTGTTTTTCTGGCTGTAAGGCATAAGGCTATTGTTTTTGTGTCCTTTTGTGAAAGAGTGATAAAATTTCCTGGTCTGTGGAATAAGAAGAGACTTTACTTTTAGGCAGGGGTCTTTAAAAGCTTTGAGCTTTTTTTTTTTTTTTTTTTACTTGTCTTCCAGATAAATCCAATATAAGGCATCACAGAAGTTTGTTGGTAGTGACATAGGGACTCAAGATTGGAATATAATTCCTGGTTTATATAGTCTGTGAGTTTATTTCATCCTCCTGTTACTCCTTCAGACAAATCTAAACTCTGTGAAATATTCTGAGGGAGAACTTAGCCCCTTTAGTTTATGTGGTTGAAGGAGCTGCTGCTACATAAAGAGTGCAGAGAGGAAATCAAGGCCTTCTTGGAGATTTACAACAAGTAACAGTTTAAACAAAATGAAATTAAAGTAATCTGCTTGTCTTCTATCACTCTTTACCGTTGCTTTTCATCATGATGCCTGCAGCTAGTGTGGTTATTTGACATTGTTGGGGTGTAAAGCCCCAGTGGTGCTAATGGGTTTTGCAGCTATGCACTTCACTAGACTCTTGCAGTGGGATTCTCCAAGAAGCTCCATGTATCTATAAATGCTGGGTCCCATTTAACCTTCTCTGAACTGGCTGTGGCACATTGGTGTTGATAAGGAAGGGCTGGCTAGCACTAAGATGCATGACCCTTCTTTCCACAGACAGATTCTTGCCAAGGGCTTACACACCTCCCTCTCTATACAGTTGAGCATAGTGTCAATTCAGGGAAAACAGGAACTGCAATCACAATTGCTTAGTAAGATTTCCATGAACTTTGGGAATGTGCGGGTAGTCCTGGAAAAGATTTTTGTGTGTATGTGTTGCTAGGTAATTGCTGTGTGCAAAATCACCCGTGCTATTTGGCAAGTAAGGATAGCACAACTCACATACATGGCCATGACAGTACTCGTGAAAAGTCTTTTATTATACTGCAGATGTTTTTCTGTAGGTAGAACTATCATTGAAATCAAACATGAACTCTACATACTGGTAATAAAAATGGTCTGGTTTTGAGAGTATCCCAGAATTAAAGGTGGAAATGGAAATGTTCCATATTAAGAATGGTCTGATGTAGAAAAGCACGTTCATTCAATGGCCCAGAAAAGGCCAAACAAATCAGTTTTCAGTAAATCGTGTGATATAGCCTCCCCCAGCTCTGAAGCTAAAAATCTGAGGAATTTGAAGAACTTGTTTTAGTATTAACTGGCTTGTCTTTTGCTGCTCAGACAAGGCACACTTTGTACAAATTTTTGTGTAGAAAAGCAACAAAAAATGTTAAGCTAAAAGGAATTGCTAGGAGATGTAGATAAAAGAAGTCTAAGTCTAGAAACTGTAAAAGCAAAGATGTCAGTGGAATAATGAGCTCTCATAAAAATGGATACTATCTACAGATATGAACCTCTCTGTCTGGTGAAGTGATTAAAGGATGAAGAAGTATAAGTAGCAAATGACCAAAATGAGCTGCTAGTTTAAATTTAGATAAAATCTGGTTTAAAGAGGGATTTGCTTGACTGGTTTATTTGTGTTATTATCCTGAATGTTCTATGTAACCGAAAAGAAAATGATCCTTGTAACTTCTTTTTTATATAAATGCAATTCTTGCTGCTTCATAAAGCTTTAGTGGGTGATGCTGCAAGAGATGAGGGTTGGTCACCAAGGTGCTTTGCTCAGAATTCCCACTGAAGTGTAAAAAATGTACTCCAGGACCTGACTCACGTATTTCTTTATCCTAAAAATTGCAGTTTCTTGTTGTGGAGGTATTTTCAGCTTGTTTAATGGTCAAAAAGATAAAGTTGTCTGAAAAGAGCAATATTGAGACCTAGACAGTTTTCTTGAAGACAAATAAGTGGAAGTCACCTGATTACAGCAATTTCAGAATCAGCTGCTATGGGTATCTGGCTTCTCTAGCAGTTTACAGAAGCAGGAGCTTCAGAAAGAGGGAAATCTCCACCCAGGTGGCACTGAGTAAAGTATGTGGACTTGCCCAGAGGAGTTCAGTTGAAGGGCAGTGGTCCTTTAGAAAAGAGCCTTTTTTATTACAGTAGAGCACTGCTATCACCCCATTTCACATTAAAGTGGTTTCCAGAATTTGACAGGTAAGATGGTGAGAGAGCTGACTGCAGAGCTGTGGAGCTTCTTGCCCTGCAGGGAAAGCTGGTGGTGTTGGGAGAAGTGATGCTGAGAAGAGCCTACTACTGTTTTGCCCTTGGCTGCAGCAGTTGTGAAACAACCACAGTGACAAAGTGTGGTTTGCATGGGTGGGGTGTGAATTTGAATGTATGAATCAAATCATAATGACTGAAACACAAGTGGCTTTCACCAGAGGAACAAATGCAGAGGATCCATCAAGGAGTGCATACTGCTATGTGCAGAATGTGGACCCTATCCTGCAACTGTTATCTGCTCCTGTTCGCTAAAAGCTCCATGTAGCAAGTGTGATTACATTCATATAAAAATCAGTAAGTTGCAGGCAGTCTGCTATCCATGCATCCAGTCTCTCCTTGATTTCACTCATCTCAGCTGGAAGTCTATATTATTCTGCCTTTCAAGCAGAACAATGCTGATGTAGGAAGACATACTTAAGATCTTGGAATAAGGAGGGCACCTTCAGGAAGAGAGAAATTTGGTTGTTGTCAAAACCAGACTAAAGAATAGAAAAAACTTATTATTCTCCAGGAATTGGTATGTTAGACAAATTAAACTGAAGGCACTGAAAAATGGCTTATGGATGTTTTGCTGGGCATCTTTTTCACTGACAATATATTGGTTTGTTAAGTTGAAGTGAGTATATTTGGGCTGCTCAAACTGCCAAATCTATAAAGTGGAGAAAATTACTAAAATTTGGCCAGAAATCCATCTGTTTTTCCCATCTGGAAAAGTACAAGCCAAACTCTTAAGCTTCGTAGCCAGAAATGAACATTGAAATATCTCTGCAGTTGGAATTATTTACTGTCCTCAGTAAGACCAAATTTGCCAAAATCTACCAGGTCTTCAATTTTGAGAGAAAGTGTATTCTTAAAAACTCAGTTTTGTGTCCAAAAATGCACTTTGATAAACACAGCCAACCCAGGGGTACTTTTTTTGATTCCTACCTTAGTTTTTCTGTAGGAAAAACATACTGATAGAAGAATTTGTGGTGCTCTCAGCTTGTCTTGAAAAAATAATTGTCCCCCAAATCATGCTTACTGGAGAACTTTTTCCTGTTTAGTTTTTTTTTTTCCTCCCATGGTTGAACTTCCATCATCTGGAAAGTTGATCCCCTTTCCAGTCCTGACCTGGTTTCTCAGAATCACTTTCTGCTTTGGTTTGCAGGAGTATTACCTTGTTAATGTAGTCAAGGTGTTAACAGCTTCTTTCAATATAAATAAGTAACAGATGAAGCTGAAGCTGTGTCCTCCTTTGTGTATAATAAAACTGCTTCTGTAGAAGTCTTGCAAAAGCAGATCTCATTAGGGTGACTAAGAGTATTTAGAAAACACAAGACATTGTGAGCCTGATCCCAGGTTCACAGTTCCAGCAGTTCTTGCAGAGTGAACATGAAGAAAGGAAATGCAGTATCCAAACAACTTTTATCCAGTAACTGTTTAGTGGTTTAGTGCAGACCTGCTGACCTCTAGAAGCTTTGTTTCTATCATATGCTGGAAATTTTCCAGTGGGAATGTTGTTGTTTCTTCATTCTCTGTTTCATTTCCCCTTGCTCTGTTACTCTAATTGCCTCTTCTGCCTACTGACTCATCTTACAAGCTGCTTTAGCTTGCTCAAGCAAGATTTGTGAACTTTTTAGTGCTCACTTGCTGCTTGCACTTTCATTTGCACCTCCTACTTTTTCCTACAGTACTTACCTGCCAAAGACCACAGTAGCTTCCATTTTCCTGTGTTTTACTACATTTAGTCTACATGTTTTCTCAGGGAAAAATGCTTTTGACTACATGAAAAATAGGCATTGTAGTTAAAATCTTTCTATTTTGCCATAAGA